GTGGTCGACTCTGAGGCAATTTTGGCACTTTTTCGTCGCAATCCTGACGAGTTTCTGCGTCGATACATAACTGTGGACGAAACATGGATACACTATTATACTCCAGAGACCAAAGAACAGTCAAAACAGTGGGTTTTTGAAGGCGAAAGGGCTCCAAAGAAGGCGAAGACAGTGAAATCGGCCGGGAAGGTGATGGCCACGGTTTTTTGGGATACACGCGGAATCATCTACACCGATTACTTGGAAAAAGGAAAAACAATAACTGGAGAGTATTATGCATCATTATTGCACCGGTTGAGCGAAGAAATCAAGGAAAAACGTCCTCATTTGAAAAAGAAAAAGATCCTCTTCCATCAAGACAATGCACGGGTGCACACCTGTGCAGTTTCAATGGCCAAAATCACGGAATTAAAGTTTGAATTATTACCACATCCACCGTATTCACCGGATTTGGCCCCCAGTGACTTTTTTTTATTTCCAAATTTAAAAAAATGGCTTGGTGGACAACGATTCACGTCAAACGAGATGGTCATTGCCCAAACAAATGCCTATTTTGAGGACCTTCCGAAATCTTACTTTTTAGATGGCTTAAAAAAGTTGGAGAAACGCTTGGAAAAGTGTATAGAGCTTAAAGGAGATTATGTTGAAAAATAAAAAAAAAATCTACCTGAAATAATTTGTTTTTCTATCTTTTTCTAAGGACTTATTGAACGACCCTCGTATTATATAAATATTATATATAACTAAAAAATAAAAATCATTTGCTTAAGCTTCAATATTCTCTTTTCTCTTTATACTCACTCAGTACAATTTTTTTTAAAATAAATTTTATATAGCTTATGTAAAAATAATACCATATGCACTTGATTAGACTCACAGGTTTAAATTACCTACAGGCTTGAATAAACCCATACTGAAACATATTTTAAAAAATATATCCACAGAGGTTTATTCAAGTGGATATGGTAATAAAATAATTTGACATTACAAATTCAGTTTTTGGTTTATTAAATTTTAGCATATCTGAGTTTTAAACTGTCAAGGTTCTTCTTATATATGATTATTTTAATATTTTATGAAAATTTTTCTATTATTCATTTTAGAACAAAGTAATCTAAGAGAGACACTACATAGATCACCTGTAGGATCTTTATCATCTAATTTAACTCATAATAATGCAAAAGATAGAGAATCCAGTAGTGGTGACAGAATAAGAACTTCCAGTGCTGAGCCATCAAGATATGTGTCTTCAGTAGACAGTCTTTGTAATGGACATGACGAAGGAGAAGAAACTAATAATAATTCCAGAGGAAGACTAGAAAGATCAGAGAGTACTTTGACAACATCAACACAACACAAACCTAAAGAAACTGAAATGAGAAGAGTAGCATCTTGTCCAGGTATTATTTCAAGAAAGACACTTTGAATATTTGCTCTTTTTTTCTTTTTTTAAATCAATTTTAATGGAAAATGTAAAAAGAAATGTTTGTATTTATATTCTGATTTTCACAAATAGTAATGATTACTATAAACAATAAAGACAATTGTTTCAAATGTTGCTTTTAGTGAATTTTACTCTAAAATTAAAAACATTTCAAACAATTTGATTAATTAATATTTTCATGATGATGATCAACTAAGTAAATTGATGTTAAAAGTTCATTGTTTTGATTAAGCTCAAATTTAATATTTAATTGTATAAAGAGACTATTTTATTGAAAAATTAACATCAAATAGTGTCTGTAATAGATTTCTATCAGTTAATATATCTATCAGTATTTTTTAAAAATTAAGCTTGAAAAACATTTATGATTAAACTAAGTTAATTAAATAACATAGTACACAGTTATACATACTAACACACTATAATAGATATTAATATAATTATTTCTTATTGTCATGTAAGTCATATTTTTAATTTTTAAACAATAGAAATGTGTAATATACAACAAAAAGTTGATGAAATTGATACAAAAATGTGATGAATATCACATTTCTGTATCAAAAAACTTACCTACATTGTAAATTGATTCTTATTTAATTTTAAGTTAATAAATATTTTACTTTTCATATTTAAAATATGAAAGGTGTGTGTTTTGCAACATAATTTAACTAGGCATTTACTCAAGTTTTGCATACAAAATTTTTTGAAACCATCATTATTCAAACCATGTAGCTATAAAATATATTACCTAAAGATAATGATTATGATGCTACAATTTCTAATTTTAAAGCTAATTTGTAGTCAAACTGCTTTCTAAATTAGAAAATTATTTTGTAAGTGTTAGACCAGAAATATAATACAGCAAGTCCTCACTTAATGTTATGGATTGGAAACTATGACATTAAGCAAAATGATATATGATAAAGCACAAGCTACTGATATAAAAAAAGATATAATTCAGTAAATATTATTTAATTGGATCGTGTTTGTAACCTTCAGTATTTATTTCCTACCTCGTAGAATCAGTTTTACTGTTTACAAAGAAAATACAAACATACTTGTATCTTTCCTCAACAGTATTGTAATGAAATGTTGTTGAGGACTTGCTGTACTGTACATTATTTCTGTTTGATACTTATATAGATTACATAGTATTTACTTAGAATGTTTTTTGACAGACTAGTTATGTACACTTATGCTACATTTAATTCTCAAGAAACTTATCATAATCTTTAAAATAAATTTTATATATTATCAGATTACAGTATTTTAGCATTACTTCATTTTATTAAACAAGTAATATGCTTAATGACAAAATGGAAATGTTTACTAGCTTGTCTAGCAACTTACTAAGATATACAATGTCTTAATTATCAATATAATAAATATTAATTCCAAATAATACATTTGTTTCTTGGTCTCTTGGTTACAAAATGACTTTCAGTGAAACTTATGTCTTGTATTAAATTTTAAATATATAGCTTTCAAATAGGAAAATAATATTTTTAAGTGCTTCTTAAATGAAAAATTACATAAGAAAATTTTATCATCTTGAAACAACATATATATATAGGTTTGTTTATAGTTTATAGAGTANCAGATTATTTTTATAGAATTTTATCATTAAGTTGATTTTATAAATATTGTAATTTATGTGTTACCTAATTATTTTTTAAATATTTAAAAATTTCATGTATATAAATTAATTAAATCAATAAAATTTTTCTTAATTTAAAAAAAATAGAATATTTAATTTCTGAAAATTAAAATTAGAAATATATAGAAAATATTGTATTGATGTTAATTGAATGAATTTATTACAAAAGGACAAACATTCAAATATCTTTAATTACTTTACAAAAAGAATAATAATTTTTTTTGTTGATAAGTTGTTGTTGGGCTGCAGTTTTGAAATTGCAGACCTATAAATTACCACTGTTGTTCATCTGTTCTTATGTCTGTCTGTCCTTCCTTCCTTAAGCTTGAGAACATTGTTAGATAGATGAAAGTCAAGACCAGATATGGAAAGCTTAGGGGCAGAAGGTCTCAATTATCTGTGTATGAACTTCTGGTCTAGACAGGAAGTCCATGTGATTCAATTTGAAAAGTTTCCCTGAATAGTTACTTAGAGCTGTGGTTCTTAATCCATGGTCCATGGAACACGGGTGTTCCAAGAAGCCACTTCAAGTGTTCTGTGAAAAAATCAAATATACAATTAATAATTGTTGCAAAAGAAAAATCAATACAATGTAAAATAATTTCTGTATGGGAATGTAATTAGCAAATACCAATGATGACATATACTAGACCGAGTGCTCTCTTGATTTCTAAAAGGTTTGCAACCCCTGCTTTAAAGCTGATGTATTTTAAGTGTTCCGCAGAAAAAAAAATGTTAAAGTTTAGTGTTCCCTGACTTCAAAAAGATTGAGAACCATGGACTTAGAGGATCAGTATGACTCCATTGTTATCAGGAAAAGTATGATGTACAGGGGCAAGGCACTACTAATTTCAGATGAAGAACATATATTTTAAATTAAATAAATTAAGAATATGAAATTTTTAAATTGCAGCCCAGCATTGTGACAATGTCACAATAAATAGTCACTTGTTAAATGTTATATTTAATATTTGTACATTTGACACTTTGTAATTTAAAGTTATATATAATAACTATAATCAATAAAACTTTTTTATTCAGAAAACCAGAAATCCATTGACCAATTGCCAGATCCTGTTCATGAAATATGTGATATTTCTGTCAAGATAGCAGATCTTGGAAATGCTTGTTGGGTGGTAAGTTATATTTTTGTGTTTAATTTGTTGTTAATTTTTTGTTATGTTACTCAGTTTTTATTGTTTACGACAGAATCATCATTTTACGGAAGATATTCAAACACGCCAATATAGGTGTTTGGAGGTTTTATTAGGTGCTGGTTATGGTCCACCAGCTGATGTGTGGTCTACAGCATGTATGGTGAGTTTTACTTAATTATTTTAATATAAATATATACAGTAGAACCCCTCTAGTCCGCCCTCGGCTAGTCCGTCACTCCGGTTAATCCAACCATGGTCGGAGTCGAGAAACTTGTCCCGACTCGTTGGTGACTCACCGTCCATGGCGTTTTTCTGTGTTTGTTACAGTATATGTTTTACATTGTGTGTACATGTACAGTTTTGTGTGTGTTTTCAACGTGTCAGGAGTGAAACGTAAACACGTTACTCTTTCATTAAATGAAAAATTAGCAGTGCTACAAAGACTAGACAAAGGGGAAGATTGTTTATTTTACTCTTTTCTGATAATCCGACCTTTTTTGCCTTCCGACCATACTCCCAGTCCCAAAGGTGACGGATTAGAGGGGTTCTACTGTAGTTCTAAAGATTATGATTTTACAGTGAAAAATTTTAAAAACTTAAGTATATATTTTTAAACTTACATTAAAAATTATTTTAAAATCGTAGGTGTTAATGAACTAGTCTAAAAATAAAAACAAAATATCATAAATAGTGTAACACTATAATTTCTGAAGGAGTCCAAGATTTATCTTGTATTAAAACATTTTTTGTAACCATACATCTCATTGTCAGATACTACATAATTGGAACCAAAAATGTTAAACAGGCATTCTAAAGCCTTTGTGACTTCAATGATTCTATGATGTCATTACTCTATTCTTACTTCTTATGGAGTTGTGGTGCATCTGCTTATAATAAATAACTACCTTAAACATTACTAGTTATTGTTTTACAATTTTAATTTTAATAACTTTGTAACAAAAAACTTAATTTTCAATTAAATACACTTTAAGTTTATAAATAATTTATAACATTCCAGAAATTTATTAAGAGACAAATTTAATAAATTTCTACTTTTGTAACAGATTACAGGATTTCTAAACAAACAAAAAATTAAAAAATGATGCTTTATTTTCCCCTTTTGGAAGCCATATAATTTTATGGTTGTGGATTAATAACATAATAAATTATTTTGATACTTAGTTTAAATTTTTAATAATTCAGAGATTCTAAAAGCATGAGTTTCTTTAATTGACAATTCTAACCAATTAAAAATTTTAGTTTGCAAAATTCATTTTTTAAAGATTGAAAAAATAGTTTATTAGAAAAACATCTTTAAAAAAGATTAATAAACATCTGTAATTTATACTTTTTAAAATCATTTTGCTCATTTTTAAGTTTATCAGACATACATCTCAGATAAAAAATAGTAATTCCTTTCAAATATGAAACGAATTACTATTTTGAAAAATTCAAATACTGTATGTCTAAATTTATATATTAATATCAATTAAATACTGATAGATTAATATTTATTTAATGATTTTTAAAAAATAACCATAGAAGTATATTCATCAAATTGAACAAAATACTGTAGATAGGGATGTTTAGCTATGTTAGTTATCAAGAAGAATTACAATTGATTTTCTTTGAAATATTCTGTATATTTTTTATTGCATATGGTTAATAAGAAACATAAGTAGGAAGAAAATTTTAATTAAAATTTCTTTTCATATAATAGTTTAATGACATTAATAGATGATAATTCATAAAAATATTGTATATTTACTTTAAAATATTAACGTTTTTTATTTTTNCAATTGCATAGATGTCCATGAGAGGCACAGAACAACGTCTTATGAAACCAGGATAATTTAACCTTGAGTGAAACTTCATTGTTTATGTGACAGTGACAACGGGCAGTCAAATTGTGCTGTGTGGCCGAAGCCAGTACGACCACCGGCGCAGCAGATGGCAGTTAATGTGTTTTTTAACATGTACACAATAATTGATATCATTTTATCTATACATATAAATGAGTACGTTTGTTTGTTTGATCACTATACACTCCTAGGCTGTTCAACCAATTGCTATGAATTGCTATGTTCAAATACTTCTAACTTGAATAATGTCATATATCCCACCCAAAATGTCGATTGCATTTCTATAAATCAATTAATTTTTCTTTACATTTGATTTTCTGAGTTACACGTAGTGCCATCTATTGGCAAATAGGTTAACAAAATAATTAACTACATATAATTCTTACAAAAAAAAGGATATAATTTAAAAAAATATTATATTATATTCACTGAATTACTGTGACAATGATATAGCATGAAATAGATGTGCCATTACTGTGACAGGTAGCACATAGCAATTGTCTGCGTAGAGTGTAGTAGTGTTTTGCCCCTGTACATCATACTTTTCCTGTTAGCAATAGAGTTGTGCCAATTATGTATCTAACTCCATTCGGGGGGGAATTTTTATATTGAAATAATGTGACTTGCAGTACAAATTGGAAGTTCATATACAGGTAATCTGGTCCTATTCTCTTACGATTTCCATGTCTGGTCTCAACTTACATCTATCTAACTCAGATTTCAAGATTAAAAAAGGTCAGAGATGGATGGATGACTGGAAATATATAGCCCTCTTCTACAAACAGGCAAAACAGCCACCTCACCCCACCAAAGTCAGGTGGGGGAGAGTACCACCCACAGTCATTCTAAGAAGTGAACAACTCTGACCTTAAGACTGAACACATAGTTTCTTCTATGTTAAATAAAATTTGTAATCTAATTTTGTAAATTTGGGAGTGCTTCAAATAGACGTCAAAACGGTTTTATGTCGTTACAAGTGGGTTTTTTTTAACATTATCTAGTATAGTAAAATCGTAGGACCGATAAAAATTTGACATTATATTAGGGTTGTCGTTACATTCGATGACATTATAATCGGGTTAAACTGTATATTGTTTGTGCAAAATAAAAAAATAATTTTGGACGATACAATAGCCACGATTATTTTTTTCAAAAACGGGAAATTTTTGTTACACATCGACAAAAATTCAGTCTGGGCCGACACGCAATGGAGAGAAATTTTGAAATTGGATGGGTTAATTTCATCGAAAATGCATTGTGGCCAGCGAAGTTTGAACGATTGCGCCCAAAAGCAGCGATATCAAAGAAGATAGGAGAATGAGAGTGAGAACTGCCTTGAGCATCAAAGTGATTCAGTCTCTGAGACATAGTCTTGTCCCAAATACAGTTTTGCCATTTTACTTGTTATTTATATTAGAATGCTGTTCAGAATAATTTTTTTTTTTTTTTTGATAATGTATCAGAAGTACTGATATTTATTATATTAAATTAAGTAAATAAATTATATTGTGTAAATTGTTTTCCTTTAAATGTATTGAAATTGGAATTTTTTCAGATAACATTCTTCCATAGTTGGAACTTTTTTTTTATGTTTGAAATACTTGTAACTTAATGCTATACATTGCAGTTCTATATTTGACTTTTAATAATTATTACTAGAATTTTAATAGAATAAATTGATAACTTCATATGAAGTCAATATGATTAAGCTCTTAATTGATCTGTATCTTATAATAATGGATGAAAAGAATTTACTAAATTTTGATAATCTGTTAATTTGATTTAAGCTAAAACTCAAAATAATAATAATAATTTTTATTTTGATAATCTGCAACGCCTCTGGCATAAACGAGTACAGGTGGTCCCAGTGATTATCAGCACACTGGGGGCTGTGCCAAAAGATATTAGTCGGCACTTACAAGCCATAAATATTGACAAAATTACTATCTGTCAGCTGCAAAAGGCCACCTTACTTGGATCTGCTCGCATTATTTGAAGATATATCACACAGTCTTAAACGCCTGGGAAGTGTTTGACTTGTGGTTTTATGTTTTTGATAACCAGCATTTCTACCTTGTTTGCTGTGTGGACATTGAATAATAAACTGTGATATTTTTATTTTATTATCTGCTGTTTTGTTTATTAAAAAATTGTTGTATGTAAAAAAACCAATATTGAATAAGTTATTACATTATAATAATTTGATTTAAAATTATAATAGTGAGATAGATATTCTTTTATACTCTAACTCTTTAAACAACATCAATATATAAGACAAAATATAGTATATTTACTGTATTCTATATACTATTAGCAATAGTATTTTTAGAAATTGCTTTGAAATTTTATGATATGAGACAGACAGATATAAATTTGATATAATTACAATACAGTTTATTTTAGATAAATTAATAATATAAATCAAATTTTAACATGTTGGTAACTTTTACTGATTTTAAAGATTCTTTTCGTGAAACTATTAGCAATAAAAACACTTATCCAAATATCATTATTTTAAAAAATTTATAAGCTATGATTAGATAACATATTTCATTGTTGTTATTTTTAGAACATTAATGATACATACCATAATTGCATATAAGACAAGGTTTTTATTCATTTTTCACTGCTTCAATAACCTAGATCGTCCTATACGTGCAAGCAAAGAAATTCATTTCATTTTTGCAATAATTTTTGTAAACTGTGTATTCACATTTTTTACTGGATTCTCACCTTCTGGTGTTTAAAACCAAAAGTATTTTATCTGGGTCGTTTGAATCGTTCTTGTGTGTTATCAGGAGTAAAGATGAATAGCAATAGGAAAAGCAAAGCTTTTGAATTGAATTCCAAAATTACACAGGAGCCCGATATAAGTTTTAATTCATTCCCATGTAAAAACATGATTATTTGGAAATCAGAATTCGGAGAAACTCATAGGTGTAATTGATGAAGAGTGGATTAGACTGTTAAGAATTGGCAAAATAGGTTTCCAATAATTGTCCAGTTTTACACGAACAAATTATGTTGTCGATTTTACAAGATGTATACTTGAAGTTTAAAATGCCACTAATTTTTGCGGTACAATGTGTACATTTACATGCATTTGATATTTTATTTGTGATTAAACGAAATAAAATTAGAATTGTATTAATAAATCTAATTTTCTTTATTTTGATCTTTAAAGTCACACTTCGTCCTGAATACGAGATCGTCTTATATCCAAGTAAATATGGTAGTTCTGCATTAAAAATACTTTTTAGTGAGCTTTAATCAGTGATATATTGAAATATATTCTTTATTATATTTATTTTAGTAATGATTATAGCAA